TGGTGGCACATATCTGTATTCCCAGCTACTTGGGAGGCTGAGGTGGGAAGAGTGCTTGAGCCCAGGAGTTTGAGGTTGCAGTGGACTTTGACGGTGCCATTGCTGTCTGGGCAATATTGAGATCCTGTGTCTGAAACAGAACAAAACTTCCCCAAAAACATTTATGATGAGTATATCCCATGTGCTCAAGAAGCTAGAGGAAAGATGGAACGTGCTCAGTAAAGACAGGGAAGATATTTTTAAAAGACTCAAATCAAACTTCTAGAGATAACACTACAGTGTCTGAGATGAGAAAAACACTGGATGGGATTGAGGCAGATTAGACACTTTGTAAGAAAAGATTCGTGAACCTGACTACATAGCCATAGAAACTATCCAAAAATGAAACACAGAGAAAAAAAGACTGCAAAAAGCAGAGCATCATCTGGATGCGGTGACTCACACCTGTAATCCCATCACTTTGGGAGGCTGAGGTGGGCAGATCACCAGTAGTTTGAGACCAGCCTGGCCAAGATGCCAAAACCCTGTTTCTACTAAAAATACAAAAATTAGCTGGGCTGATGGCACGCACCTATAATCCCAGCTACTTGGGAGGCTGAGGTAGGAGAATCGCTTGAATCCAGGAGGCGGAGGTTGCAGTGAGCCGAGATTGCACCACTGCATTCCAGCATGGGTGATAAAGCAAGACTCCGTCTCAACAACAACAACAAACAGCATTTGTGAACTGTGAGACAGTTGGAGTCTTTGGAGGAGAAATGAGAAACAGGGACAGAAAAAAATTTGAAGACACTGGGTGAACATTTTCCAAATTTGTTAAAACTATAAACCTGTAGATCCAAGAAGCTCAACAAACCCCAGTACAAGAAACGTGAAGACAAGTGTACAAGGCACATCATAATCATATTGCTTAGAACCAGTGCTAAAGAGAAAACCTTAAAAGCAGCTACAGGAAAAAGACATTGTATACAGAAGCAGATTTCTTATCAGCACCAATGCAAGTTAGAAGTTAGTGGTGTAAAATCTTTAAAGTGCCTACAGAAAAAAACATACCAACCTGGAATTCTTTATCCATTGAAATATCTTTCAAAAACTAAGATGAAATAAAAGCTTTTTCTACATATAAAATGTGAAATAATTATCACCAGCAGACCTATGCTAAAATAACTGTTAAAGGAAGTCCAAGAAGATTTACTAAATAATCTGCTTTTTTTACCAGCTGATTTCAAATGCCTTTGATTGGAAGAATTTTCCTAATTAGTTTTATGCGTTACTCTTTTCACATTGAATTATCCTATATTTGGTTTTGAAGATCTTGTAATCAGAAATTGTAAGCCATAGTGTCTATCTACACAAAACTTCATACAGATGCAGACTTAAATATTTTGAACCTCCTTATCTGGTAATGCATTCACATTTATTTAAATTTTGGTATGTCTAGAAATTTTATCGATAATATTTCTTGCCTGATATATGAATTTTATATCCTTATTTATTTATCTTTGAAGATAGCTCATTCAACAGATTGAGAATTCTGTTGCCCAGGCTGGAGTACAGTGGTGTGATCTCAGCTCACTGCAATCTCTGCCTTCTGGGTGTAAGTGATTCTCCTGCCTCAGCCTCCTGAGTAGCTGGGAATACAGGTGCTCGCCACCACGCCTGGCTAATTTTTGGATTTTTAGTAGAGATGGGGTATCACCATGTTGGCCAGGCTGGCCTTGATCTCCTAACCTGAGGTGATTCCCTGCCTTGGCCTCCCAATGTTCTGGGATTATAGGTGTGAGCCACTGCGCCCAGCCTCCTTTGTTATTTAAAATTGATTTTTAAAATAACCACATGCTTGAAATCCTTAAAATTACCCATTTGTTTTTCTCTATAATCAAAGTTCTTCAAAGTATTTCTCTTACATAGTGATTTGGGGAGCCTTATCTAGGTTTATGCTGTGTAGGATTTGCTTGATCATCAGCTGTGGCTTGGATTTAATATTGAAGGACATAGTTTTTTCTTCGTTGCTTAGACAGAAGCTCAACAAGACAGACTCCATAGCAAGAAGTCTGGTGGATTTCTGTCAGATGGCTGGCATACCTGTCAGCTTGGTGAGGAAGAGAAATATTCAACAGAAGCTGATTGTCCTGTTTATGTTTTGTCTTTCAAAGGCACTCTGGAGCTGCAAGAGAAGGTGTTTACAACCTCACCAAATCTTTAGCTTTGGAATGGGCCTGCAGTGGAGTAAGGATCAATTGTGTTGCCCCTGTAGGTAAACGTTCTATATTAAAATTTATTGACAAATTATGCTTTTCTGATTCCATTTGTGGTGTTGATAGAGGTGTTTGGTAATATGCAACTGTAGCATAAAAGATTGACTTTAAAAACAGATAAAATCAGAAAGTCTGATTTTCTTTCTTTTTTTTTTTCTTGAGGCAGAGTCTCACTCTGTAGCCCAAGCTGGAGTGCAGTGGCACCATCGTGGCTCACTGCAACCTCCACCTCTGGAGCTCAAGCGATTCTCGTGCCTCAGCCTCCTGAGTAGCTGGGACTACAGGTGCACGCCACCATGCCCTGCTAATTTTTTGTATTTTTGTAGAGACGGGGTTTCACCATGTTGCCCAGGGTAGTCTCGAACTCCTGAGCTCAGATCTGTCCACCTTGGCCCCTCAAAGTGCTGGGATTACGGGTGTGAGCCACGTCAACACTCCCGGCCCAGAAAGCCTAATTATCATTACGAAAGTACTCTGATTTACAACCAGATTGTCAAGAAT